CAAAACTAAAATTAATACACTCATGATCGAGTAATAAACCTTTTTTTTTGGCCAATTATTTTTGTAACACACTGTATATTATTCACCATGGATAAAATGCAATTTAAAGTAGTTTCTCTTTATGTAATATCTTTTCCATAGTAATTAAATTCTTTTTTTGCATGACTAACATAATAAGAATGAATTTTAGCTAATTTTTCAATCATAACTTGCAACCATTGTAAAATAGAAAAAATTCGTTTAGTACTAGCTGTATGTGGAATGACAGAAAATAGTTTGATTGCCAATTTTTGTAAGTGATTATAATTGTCTTCACATGTAGACCACCAATTAATTGGATTATCCAGTCTAGTATAAACGTTTGAAGAATTAGAAGTTGCCAAAGAATTTGCTTTATCCAAAAAATATCATTTTGATATTCACATAAAACAATTTCAAGATTATTTTAATAGATACATTTAAACATCTATTTGCTAAACGTTCTTGCATCAATCGTGGGCTTCCTTTTGTTCCATTATCATTACAATATATACATACAGGTGCCAGCATATCTTTATTAAAATGTGTCCAAACAATATCTTTCAGCACTCTTGGGATTTGGCAAATAAAGACTTTGAGAATCAGAATTACTTGACATAATTTAATATTAAAAGCAATATTGAATTTCGAATTCAATTTCGGATTTCGGATTTAATTTCGGATTTCGAAATAAAACTTATTTATTTCGCCATCATAATCATCTATGATTTAATTGAATAGTATTTTTTATGTAATATATATATAAATAAACATTTATCTTTTATGTTTCGTTAACACATGTAATGATCGACGATGTTTCTATACAGAGTTTTCTCTATAACGGATATTTTTTCTAATCCCAATGATCTGTTATAGATAGAGTGAACTTTATACCGCAGTCCTTTGATTAGAATGGCGGTCTTTGGACCAGTTCGGATGATTTATTCGTCTCGTTCGTTCTATTTGCCCCATTTGTTCGAATAGAAACCCTAAATCTGGACCATGGTCTGGGTCGCGGTCCGGTCATTTGGTTAGACTGACGGTCTTTGGTCCGGACCGTTAACAACATAACATTTGTAAATATTGATAATAGTTCTTCACAATGTGAGCTTTGTTTGGTAAAAGCACAATAAAACGTCACTTTGAGAATAAACATAGAGATACTTATCAACAACAATTTTATCAAACAACATTAAATTTTGAATCATGATCCAAAAGCATTTTATTTGTTGTTGAACTTAAAATAGTTTTAAAGGCTTGGTATTTTTTTATGGACTAACCTCAAATCTAACCAATGATTTTTGATCCCATAATTAATTATTTAAATTGAAAAAAAATTTGATCCGATCTTTTTTTTTTCTTTCTTCACAACGCAAAATATTTAACAATTCTTTTAAAAGCGCTTTTTCATCAGATAAATTTTCAGTAATTTATCGAGGACGAATAAAGTCGTAGCGAATTGGAGATTAAATATATATTATATATTTGTCTTTGGTCTTTGGGTGCAATCTATGAATACAATTGGTCTTCGTTACCGATTGTTTGAGTATGGTTGCAAGGATTAAAGATATATTTTTTCTTTCGTTCTCTTTTCAATAAAAGCATTTGTTTTACACTATATTATATATTAAACTATTAAAAATTGAAAAAAATAAATAAAAAGACTAGTTTTAAAATGTATTAGTGTCCGTCTAATTGGTAATAATCTTTTTTACATGTGATCTTATTCACCCCTTCTAATACTTAAATAATAATAATAATGCCCGACCAAGTTACAATCTCACCTATCGATAATTCAGTTTGTGTTGTTCGTACGCTTGCTACCACTGATCAAGTTTACGAGACAATTGACCGTTCATGGGAAGCTTTTAAAAAATGGAAAAAAGTCTCTGTTAAAGAACGAGCTAAAATCGTTTCAAAATTCATTGATGTTTTTGTAGCTAAAAAAGATGAACTTACAAAAGAATTAACAATACAAATGGGAAGGTACATAATTATTTTTCTTATTTTTAATTTGATTGATAAAATTAAATCTTAATATCATATAAATAGGCCCATTAAATACGCTCCTGGTGAGATTAACGGCACAGAAGAGCGAGCTAGGCACATGGTTTCAATTTCTGAAGAAAGTTTAAAAGATTTTGAATTGTCAGATTCTGATAAACCTGGTTTCAAAAGATTTATCAAGAGAGAACCACTCGGTAATACTGATCATTTAGATAAATGAATAAATTTTATAACAGTTTTTAATTTCGAATTATTTTCTTCCATTTTAAAGGGCCAGTTCTTGTAATTGCAGGTAATCTTTTTTTTTAAAAAAAAAAATCTTTGGTAATATTATTATTATTTAAGTTATTTACGAATATCTAATAATAAAATTATCTAGCTTGGAATTATCCTTATCTCATTTCAATAAATGTAGTTATTCCTGCATTGCTTGCTGGTAAATTTAATAGTTTAATTAAATAATGCTTTGTTTTAAAAAGGAAAAATAAATAATCAGGTCGTATTCATTAGGCAATACTGTTATTCTAAAGCAATCATCTCAAACTCCTTTATGTGCTGAAAGATACGCAGAGGCTTTTAAAGAAGCAGGTCTTCCTGATGATGTTTTTCAGGTTTAATTGGTTTAAATGTTTTTTATTCGTCAGAGTATTAATTATTAGTTGATTAATAATAAAGAATTTTATTAAATAAGGTATTACACGTCTCCCACAGTGATATAGAAAAGGCCATTCAACATCCACATATTGCTTATGTAAATTTTACTGGATCTGTTGAAGGCGGAAATCAAATTCAGAAAAGTGCCAGTGCTAGATTTATTGGTATAATAATCATAATAATGACAATTCCATTATATTATAATTACAGATTTACATCCTCTTTATATCATGATAAACACTTTATTAATTAATTAAGATGTTTATATGTGTTAGGCATTGGGCTTGAATTGGGTGGAAAAGATCCTGCTTATGTTCTACCTGATTGTGATTTAGATTATACAGTTGAACAGTTAGTTGATGGTTCATTTTTTAATAGTGGTCAATGTTGTTGTGCCATTGAAAGAATTTATGTTCATGAACAAATTTATGATTCATTTTTAGAAAAATTTGTGGCATTGACAAAGGTTTAATTAATCTTTTTTGACCTTTTAAAATTATCAGGATATTCCAAAAACTAATTGTCTTCCATTAAAATAGCAATACAAACTAGGTAATCCCCTTGAAACTGACACGACACTTGGCCCAATGGTACGAGCAAAAGCAGCAGATTTTGTTCGTGATCAAATTGAAGATGCTGGTAGGTTTAATTATTTTTTATTCATTTTTATTTTTAGTAAAAAATAAAAATTTAAATCAAATCACCACATTAGTAAACAAAGGAGCAAAAGAATTGATTGATACATCCTTATTTAAGTTGGATAAGGTAATATTTTTAATTTTTAATTAACAAAGATTAACAATATTGCAAAACATTATTCCAACTGATTTCTTTATTATAGAGAAATACTCCATATAAAGCACCTCAAGTTCTCATAGACGTTAATCATTCCATGAGAGTTATGACGGAAGAAAGTTTTGGTCCTGTTATTGGAATCATGAAAGTGAGAATTAAAATATTTATTGATCGAGTTTTCCGACTACTAATACTAACATTATTATTGTTATTATTATTTAGGTTTCATCAGATGAAGAAGCTATTAACTTGATGAATGATTCGGAATTTGGTCTAACAGCAAGTATTTGGACCAAAGATGAAGATGCAGCTTTAAGGATCGGAAATGAAATTGAGACTGGTACTTGGTTCATGAATCGATGTGATTGTATGTATCGTGCATTTGTTTATTTATTTTAATTTTTAATTTAATCTAAATGTATAATTCTTTTATTATTAAGATCTTGATCCTGCTTTAGCTTGGGTCGGTGTCAAGAATTCTGGACGTGGATGTAGTTTGGTTAGTAAAAATTAATATTTTACATTATGCTTGTGATAAATACAATGTGTGTGTGTGTGTGTGTGTGTGTGTGTGTGTGTGTGTATCTCATTATTCATCCGTTTATTTATAAATTCTATAGTCAAAGTTTGGCTTCGATCACCTTACACGGTAACTAATATAAATGTAATAGTAATGTTTTTTCATCACAAGTAAATCGAGTAATAATTTTTATTTCTTTATATACATGCATTAGACCAAAATCCTTTCACTTAAAATTGACCACAAATTAAAATCTTTAATAAATATCAATGATGGCCAGAGTAACGAGAAGATTTAATAATGTATATCACACGTACACAAATCACTTTATATAATATTCTTAATTGATAAGGTGTTTGTTTTGTAATTCAATGTATATTTATATATTTAATAATGAATAATATAAATAAAAAAAGTAATAAAAAATTTTTATAAATAATAATAAAATAATATTAGCATAGCAAACAACAATAACAGTAATATATACAACACATTAAAAAAATATATATATTAAATATTATTAATCTAACAACCTAATATTTTTTTTAGTAAAAGTATTCACACAAAAAAGATGATAATCTTTTTTAAACCGCTAAATTATTAATGATAGAAAGAATAGAAACAATAAAATAAAACATTAAGTAATAATATTAAACCAGAAATATCTATAACATTATAAAATTAATATTTTATCACGTTCATTCAATCAGGTATTATATAAAGACCCAATATTCTATATTTAAAATCCTAAAATATCAAAATTAATAATGTTATAACTGTTACAATAAATGTTCATAATATTTTTTGTTCAAAAACTTTATAATTATTTCCCAGTCTTGAATTTAAGTAAAGGTGCAAGATCTGATAGCGGACAAGATTTTCTAAGAAAGTCATGCTATTCAAAATATTATTATACATATTAGTATATGATTATATTAATAAATAAATGTTTAGTTAATAATCAAAATACTTACATCTAAAAGCTCTAAAGCTGTTGCTCTACTCTTAACATCTACACACAAACAAACAGCTAAAAAGCTTTTAAGTTCACGAGATAATTTATCTGGCTTTTTTAAAGTTGGAGTTCCATTTGTAGCAATTAAATATAAAGCCTTCAATGGTTCTTCATCTAAATATGGTGGTTCATTTTCTATCATTTCAATTGCCATAATTCCAAGAGACCAAATGTCAACCTTTGCGCCATATTCTTTTTGTTTAACAACTTCAGGCGCCATCCAATATGGCGTACCAACCATCGTTGCTCTCTTATTTTTTTGGTCAGTTAATTTGGCACAAAACCCAAAATCAGCTATAATAAATTATATCATATTACGATTTATTAATAAATGAAAATTTAATTAATTAAATATTAAATAGTGCAATCTCTTACTTATTTTTACATGACCATATGCATCTAATAAGACATTATCGCTTTTAATATCACGATGAATGATATTCTGTCCATGAAGATGTTGAAGTCCTTTACAAGTCTATATTTTAAAAAAAATCTTCATTTAATCGTTATTAAATAAATAAATAAATATATATAAAAATAATATTTTGATTACCTCAAAGCATATGGTAGCAATTTGATCTTCCTCTAATGTGTTATTATCAATCACATCTGTTAAAGCACCACCTTCCATATACTCCATCACAACCCAAAGTTCACTATTTTTTACCAAATATGAATCAAGGTAATTTACAATATTTGGATGTTGAGATTCCTTCATTACAAGAATTTCATTTACAATCAGTTCTTTTCGTGGTTGGTGCGAAAGATCCATTTGTTTTATAGCAACTTTTGAACTAGTTTTATGAGATTTAGCAACATAAACTGAACCAGAAGCACTGTCATCATTATAATTATAAATGTTTTTTTGTTAATTATAATCCTTTTTATTTTAAATTATTATCTATAAAACCCTCGTCTACCTACCCTTGACCAACTTTTTTGATTTTACTGAATAATGATGTTGGATCACCTTGTGATACGACAGATCTCAATTTTTCCATAATTTGCGCTTCTGTCATTGTGCTAATTCTTCTTTCTGGTTTCTTTTGAACTGGTTGTGCATTTTGTTGAGGTTTTAGTTGTTGCTGCTGCTGCTGCTGCTGGTGCTGCATTTGGGCTTTTGGGTTCGGACTAGGAGCACGTTGTTGTTGTTGTTGTTGCTGTTGTTGCTGTTGTTGTTGTTGTTGTTGTTGTTGTTGTTGTTGTGATTGCTGCTGCTGTAACTGTAATTTTTGTTGCTGTAATTGTTGTTGTTGTTGCTGTTGTTTCTGTAGTTGCAGTTGCTGCTGCTGCTGCTGTTGCTGCTGTTGCTGTTGCTGTAGCTGCTGCTGTTGCTGCTGCTGCTGTTGTTGTAAAATATAACTTTTAGAATTTTGATGCGAGATATGTGATTGTTGAGGATTGTTATAATTGTCTGATGAATATTGAGATGTTTGTGAATGAGAAGATTGATGTTGTTGATGTTGTTGATACTATGAAAAAAAAATTTTTAAAAAAAAATATAATTATTAAAAGATGCTTGAACCATTCATTAAAATGGATAATAAGAAAAAAAAGATGGTTGATAAATACTGAAGGGGTTGAAATAGAAGGATTTGGACTTGGTGGTGCTCGTAAAGTATTTGAGCTCAGAGTATTTGGTGGCCTTGGAGTAATTGGTGGACGATTTTGTGGATTAACTGGATGCTAAATTTTATAAAATTGAAAAAATAAATTTTTTTTTTTTTTTTTGATAAGAAATATCAATTAATATAAAAAAATATAATTATAATCAAAATGCTTACATTGTCATCATAATACATTTTCCTGGAAGGATCCGTTACATCTGTTCTATTTATTGAACCTATATTGTTGTTGTTGTTGTTACCATTACTATTCATATGATGTTTTATGTCATTAGGTCTTCCATTCATTTCACTATTATTTCTATTATTATTATTCATTCCATTTAGATTATTATTATTATTATTATAATTATTAGGAGACATTTGAATCTTTTGTGGCATATTGTTATTTCTTGGTAAAAGATCAGCCCATTTATCATCAGGATTGTTTGTAAGTCCTGGAATTGGTCCTAAAAAACCATGGTCATTGAATTCTTCACGTTCTCTTTTCTGATTCTCTGTATAAAATTCTAAAACATCTAAAACAGCCTGTGGATTTTTTTCATAATCTTCTTTCGTTATAGCTGAGGTCGTCAAAAGTTTTGTCCATTGTTCAGGCATTCCCTAAAAAAAAAAAAGAAAAAGATATATATTAACATATATTTAATTGGTTAAAAACAAATTTTTTAATCAAAATTAAACTTCAAAAAATTTACATACCGTAAACATCCCACTGACTGGATCAAAGCCTACATGTACATTATGAACAAAATTTGTTGGATTTGAGACACCGCTAAGTGGAGACCTCTATTATAGCATATATGGGTAATAAATGTTCAAGAATTAAATGAGTAAATACTATAAATCGATCTGAACGAATTGTTAATAATAATTTCAAAAAAATAATGATGATTTCCATTAAAATCTTGTCCATTTAAAGCAATTAAATCATCAAAAAAACTGACAAGTGTACTATTATTTCAAACATATAAGTCTATAAATATATATATATTTACATACACTGTAAATTTCATCCATCCAAGAATATAATTCTTCGTCACTTTTACAAGATAGATAGTAAGTTTTGTCTTTGGTTTGGACTTCGAAGCAATATGGTTTTAAATCTGTCCGTTGAAGATTTGAGATTTCTTTCAGAAAAATTAAGGCGACTGCTTGATATGTACTCTAATTGAATGAAATATAGCAAAAGATAATATATCCTATAATTAATAGTTTCTCAAGCAGAGAAATAAATTTGCATACAATCATATACCTCGTTACGATGGAATGTTAAAGTTTGTTCTCTTAATAATAACCATCTTTTTGACCACAAAAAGGCTCTTAAACCATCTTCCTTAACAGAAATGTATCCTTTTTTCACAACATTTGAATTCATTTGGCATAACTTTTTAAAGAAATAGTTGTTTTTTTATGTTTTTTATTAATAATATACACTATACATATATAGAACGATAAAAAATTTAATTCAACGATTTTACAATTTTATTTGTTTTATTTGTTCAAATTTGTAGCACAAGAGATAGTTTGATTGCACAAAAAACTATTAAAGAAATAAAAGAAAACGTGCCCTAATATAATATTGAATTTCGTACGTTATACATTTACTAAAACTAATACATAATACATAGAAACTTGTTTTACGAAAGCACAAATAATAATTAAAATTCATTTGTTTGATCGTCGAAATTTACACACTATGCCCAAATATTGTAAATCATTTATATATAAATCTAAATTAATATATGTGAACATTATGTCACAAAGAAACTTCAGGGATCAAAATTTATATTAATACAGTATAGTAGATTAATCTACCCCTAACAATATACATATATTCTATATATGGACTAACAAAAAGTGGGTCAAATTTTTTGTTTGCATTCACAATTCACATGAGTGATTGAGTCATGTGATTTTATATCAAGAATATCATCGCTATTTTGAGTATTGAATAATTGGCCACGAGGCGCAACAACTGATGTGTACAAATCAATATAAAGATTCACAAAACTTTGTTTAACAGTTTATGGGTGACGCGATATGACAATCATTAATATTTCATTTTTCTTTTTCTATTTCTTCCGATTAAAAGATTAATGACATTTTGTCAGACCAAATATCCTCCAGATGATAATTCACAACTCATGGGCTAATATGGGTTAAAGATGATTCAAGCTCATTAATAAATTTTTGTTTTTAATAAAAGTATTGTATTATTTATTTAAGCCTTTAGAAGGTTATTATATATTTCAATTTTTTTTAAGAATGTTTTTATTGTCTAAATATATTACAAAAAAATCCTTTTAAATAGATAATTAAAAAGAATTTCCAACATAAATAAATTGTGTGTAGCACGATATTAGATGATTAGATGGTAATATAAAAAACAATCAATATATATGCTTACAATAATATAGTAATAATAATAGACTGACACACAGTTATCATCAAGGTTATGCTATTTATTTTTAAACCAATTTCGCGCACATGCTATATAATATCTGTTATTCAATTCACCATAATGACTTAACATTGAATTACAAATCATATATAAAAGGCCAACTTGTTGTAAAGGATTTATCAATGCATCCGAGTCAGAGGAATTCAACAACTCCTTTTTGAATTGTTAACAGATCATGATAATGTAGGAGGTACATAATTTGTTAAAATCTAATTTTCTTAATGGAAAATCAATCAAGATTTCCAATTTATCTCTAAATGAAAATCTCTTGAGATTAATTCAGGCAACCTTGAAGTTTTGTTGCAACTGGCGACCTCGTTTACAATTGTGTTGGACCCCCCCCCATTAAATTAACTAACCCCTAGATTTTAGCAGATAGTTTCTAAGTTTGTAGAAATCTGCATTAGTTACACGGCAATATTTTATACACTGAATGTTCCATCGTGCTAAAGAAAAATGATCAATCTCTTTATATCGTTTATTAAACAAAAAAAAACAAAGTTTATTCAATAATAATACCTCATTTAGACAAAATAAAACGACATAAATTGCCACCCAAAACTACGTTTATAATGGAAAGTGCAGAGACTTTATTACAAGCGAAAACTCCAAAAATTGATCATAATCAAAGTCAACATACACTTAATAATGGAATTAATAATGAAAGTAATAAAAGTGGTGGTACTTATTTGGAACAAGGGAAAGTCTACAAGTTTCCAATAAGTCCATTAACGAGATTTTCTGGTCAGTGTGTGACATATAAATTACCAATTGAAATAACATGTTTTAGTTACGATGGTGAACGTAAATTACATCATGATGATAGAGAATTGGTAAAAAAAGTAAATAATATATTCTTGATGTTTTTATTTAAAAGAGGTGTTATTATTGATA